GCTCCAGACAAAAAAATCGAGTAAGGAGCCATTGGCTCCATATAAGAAAAAAACGTATTTTCAACTTATTTTTTTTAGGTGCCACAGAATAAATGTGTTTTATTTATTTTATTATTATTATTATTATTATTATTATTACACTTTAACATTTCAGTCATACTGTCATGTGTTTATGTCTAATCTTTTCTTGACTTTATCAGCATTTTAATCCATCTTGTAGATGACCTGGGAACTAAGGTTCACTTAAAGTGGGAACTAAATGTCTTTTCCAACTTGAAATATACAGTCACACACTGTTTACAACAGAATCTGTACCAATACCATGGACCTAAGCATCACTTGGCCACTGAGTGTAGTTTGGGCTCAATGCATCCTGTAAATGTTGTCATACACTCTTAAAAATAAAGGTACTTCACGTAAGAACCTTTTAAGCACCTTTATTTTTAAGAGTGTATGTTTTTCACACTTTCAGTCTGTTTTTCTTAATTAGTAAAATGCTGTTTTATAGGAGGAGTTGAATCGTGTAGACAACAGGTTAAGTAAAAATATTAAAATGCAATATCACATAAATATAGCAAAATGCTCCTCTTTATAGTTATTTTTCTAGCTGACTGATGAGCTTATGGACACCGAACGGTTAAATGTATATTACGTTGCAATGTTTACAAGCTTTATACATTTTCCGCAATTTGAAACACTGAATGAGCTTTTTCATGAGACATTTCAATAAGTTGTACTGTAGGCTCTCTTATAAAATAGCCTACCTTTTGATGTTAATTCATGTTCATTATGTACTATACAGGCCCGGACTAAGAACACATAGGGCCCTGGGGCAATAGCAAACCCAAGGGCCCCCCTTCATAGTAGCCTATCTTGGTGCCACAACGTTTTCTACAACAGGAATCATTTTTTTTATTTTTATCAAATCTCCAACACAGAGATACAGTGTATATGCACACTAAATATTCCAGGCTACAACACATTAAAAGAATAAATACATTAACACCAGATATATGAAGTCAAAGCAAACAGGTTTCCAGAAGCAGCAACAACTTTTGAGCATATACAGCTCCCTTAATTTAGGAGTTTAGTTTAAATAGTTTTGTTATTAGAAGGTCTTCTTTCTGGCCCTAGAAGAGGAGAATCATCAGGGCTGGACAGGTGCTAAAATTCAGCCCATCTGTTCCATACAGTCCCCCATAAATGTTTTGCTGGGGTTAGGGCAACTGGAATAATTTATTTAAATAACGGACGAAAACAAATGATATTTTTGAATACTTAAAATGCATTTAACAATATTAATATTCCATTATATTGCAAGCTCTTAATTATTGAATTCATTTTTTTAATTAAAGTTTATTAGAACTATTAAATTTTCCTTTGTAGTTGCCCTAATGAAAAGCTAATTCTTGAATCCAGAGTTAACTATAGTATTAGTAAACCTTAATAAAATTGACTTATTGCCTTTATTTGAACCAATATTTAATAGGCTATAAGTATCCTATTACAATTTTCGTGACATTAATAATAAATATCATTAACCGTATTTATACAGTGTCAGTAAATGCATGTTAAATAGCCTAGGTGTGGTGCTGTGGCTTAAATTGCTTATTTACAGTTTTGTACAGTTTACCTCTACACTTCAGTTTACATGGTCGGTGCTGTTCACTCTGGTTTCCGCTAGCTTCACCACAGAGACTTTACTGTTCAAATATAAGTGTCGTGTGTGGAATTCAAATGGGCAAGTGCTGCTTATTATCACATCAATAGAGCGGCGAAAGTATTGAGCTACAGTCGTTGTCCGGTGTGATCCAGCTGTTCTCTTGCGCTGTGCGGTTTAATCAGGTAACTTAGTGTTGTTTCATCACTTGGCTTTTAGTGTTTGTTTCCCATGCGCTACAGTAAAGCCGAGCGCAGACACTAATATGTGGAGGCGTGGTGGGATTTCGGCAATCGGCACACCAGGAAAAGCTTGGGTGCTCCCGATGGCCAATCAATTCTAGGTCTAATTTTCCTTTCCTCCACAGCCAATCATGTTGGGCCCTGGGGCTTCGGGCCCTGGGGCTTCAGCCCGCCTAGCCCTTATGTTAATCCGGCCCTGGTACTATAGTAGTAAAGAGAAAGATTAAATGGGTTCACTTGCCGCTTGAACTGAGGCGCTAAAGCGACCGCGCCTGCCGCATTAAAGAGTGCCAAAAACAAAACTGTATTTATTGTTTGAATTTCGTTATGAATTTTGAATAATTTTAAAGCTGATACTTTGTTTATTAAAAAGTAACAAAGCTTTTTGCGATTACTGGACGGCAAGTGCGCTTCAAATAATGAAGTTCACGCATTAACAGAACACAGCATAGACAAGATCTTGTTAAGAAGAAGCCATATTATTAATAATTATAAACGAGAATTGTCAACGATATTGCCAATATCCACACAGCTGACAGCTTTACCTGTTGTAGTTTGTTCAAGTTGTGCACGAAATAGGCACTGCTTTTCTGCACTTTCACTTCTTACGTCTCAGTCATTTCGATCTCTCTCGCACTGCACAACTGAGCTGCATTTAGCAGACTGTGTGCGACAACGCTGCTGTGCGGCAGAGATGAGGACTGTTTGAAACTCTTTTTTCCACTAAAACTTTGATGCGCATCGTCTCAGTTTAATACATGAACATAACAAAAGATGTTATCGCAAAACAATCAGGAAAAAAGGCATTACATGCGAATTTTAAAGTTATAACATGTAAATACATAGGCCTAGTCGCTCAGCAAAAACTTCACTCGCAATTGAATATTTTTGGTCGCAAATGCAACCGTTTTAGTCGCAGGTTGGAGCCCTGAGATACAGTAGACAATCTAATCAAAAAATAAGTCGAGTCAGGTTTCATGATTGGCCAATTTGACGCTCCCCCTTTCGACTTTTTTTTTTTTGCATCAGGCATCAAAGTGATGCCTATTCACCCAGATTCATGGCATTTTTTCGGGATTCACTGGTGCGGGACGTATTATTTCTCAGTACGTTTAACCTTCAGATGTCAAAGTTGCCCCAAAATTTTCAACACGTTATCAGAGGCCATTTGCTGGATTCTGTGTAACAACTATTCAATTCCTCATCTAATTCAACCGCTCGACGATTTTCTAATCATATCACCTCCCAATTCCATCCCAGCTACAAATATTACGACAGTCCAAAAATTTTCGCGGAGCTCGGAATTCCCATTGCTCAGGAAAAGACTTTAGGCCCAACCCAATCAATCGAATTCCTAGGCATCAACCTAGATTCAGCCAAATTTCAGGCTTCGCTGCCAAAGAACTCACAATAACCTCCAGATTCAACCCTAAACTCCATCCAGCCATCTCTGACTTATCTGTGCTCGACAGCTAAACTATTTTTTTTACTTTATTAAACAAAGACAGACAAAGAAAGAAAAGGTCGCTATATCTACAATTTCAACCTCCCTTCTCCAATTCACCCATATTAGGCCTTTTTTCTTACTTACAATTCAGGAGCTCTCAATCTAAATCCCCTCTCGACCCTCTATTCGTCAACAACTCTAACCACCACGTTACACATTTTTAGTCCCGAAAACACCTAAAACTAATCCTTGCTCAGGCTTATCTGCAGATAAGCTTATCCTTTCACATCGGGGCAGCAACCACAGCAGCTCAAAAAGGCCTCTCACAGCAGCAGATACAAGCCATCAGTCGATGGTCATCAGACGCCTTCAAAAGCTATATCAAGTCTAAAAATTTCCACATAAAGGAAGCCCCTCTAACCCTGATCAGCTAAAAAAAAAAAAAAAACTGTCGTTTCGAATCACGTTGCTTATTTGGCAGTTGAGTGAGCTGCCGCTCCCTTCAGTCCCAGTGTGAGCCCTCCGTCCGTTGCATCAAGTCGCGTTGCTCATTTGGTGGTGGACGCTTCGGTGGCAGTGTGAGCCTTCCATCTGTCATTTTTGAATCGCGTTGCTTATTCGGTGGTGGTCGGGGCTCTCCCTTCCGATGCAGTGAGCTGCCGCTCCCTTTGATCGGTGTAAGCCCTCCATCCATTGCATCCAGTCACGTTGCTTATTCGGCAGTGGTCGGAGCTCTCCCTTCAGATGCAATGAGCCGCTGCTCCCTTCGGTCACAGTGTGAGCCTTCCATCTGTCGTTTTCGACTTGCATTGCTTATTCAGCTGCAAGTGGGACTCTCCCTTCCGACGCAGTGAGCCGCAGCTCCGGTCGAACGCAGCGAGAGGCCCCCACTTGATGTCTTGTTTTGTGCTCCTCATTCAGCAGCAGGTAGGGCTCGCCTGTTCGCCGCTGTAAACCGCAGCTCCCGTCAAGCGTTGCACGGCCTCTCCCGGTCGTCCTCTCAAACCTGTCTCTCTTCACACCACGCATATTTTTGGGGGGCTACTAACAAAATTTTACTCTCCGGCTGCTGTCTCATGCCTATTTTGGCTTCTTTTGGGGGAGTTCTCTGGGTTCGGGCTATATT